TCGGTTATCGTCGGCTCTGAGAAAGCGTGAGGAAGAGAAACAGAGAAAGTGAAATTTAAAATATTAAAACCGTTGTTTTAAGTTGTGGGCTACCGGGTGAAAACTAAATTTCATAACATATACAATCTGGGCTAAGCCAGGTAAAAGCTTCAAATATGGGCTATTTTCGAATGGCCTGTATGTCCCAAGTGATATATGATGTAATTTTGTCTTATTTTTAAGAGTCACAAATATGCAAAAAATTGTAGCTTATGAAAAGAAGTTGAAGCAGAACGAAAAGAAATTGTAAAACAATATACAGGTAGGGAATCACAGTGAACTCGACTAATAAACACAATATTGAAATGTGACTTATAAATCACAATAGTTGAATACGTTATATAAGTCCCATTCACTTATTGCGTTTTATACATCGGATTTATGTAATACATATAAGTAAATGGACCTACTTTCATAAACTTCTGAATGAAGATGGGGACTGAGATATTATACTAGGTGAAATGGGGCATCTCGAGGGTCACCGAAACTGTAGGTACTGTAGGCGCATTAAGGTTAAGGACGTCATGGGGGCTATGCATAAGATGAGTAGGGGTAGAGCAACCGGACCAGACAAAATTCCGATAGAATTCTGGAGGTGTGTGGGTAGAGCAAGCTTGGAGTGGCTGACCAAACTGTTTAATGTTATTTTTAGGATGAAGAGGATGTCATATGAGTGGAGGTAGAGTACGATGGTACATTGTACAAGAACAAAGGCGATATCCAGAGTTGCAATAACTATAGGGGTATCAAGTTACTAAGTCATACTATGAAAGTGTGGGAAAAGGTAGTGGAAGTGAGGGTGAGGAATATAGTGTCTATATCCGACAACCAGTTCGGGTCCAATGTCGGGTCGTTTGACTACGGAAGCGATCCGCCTTATTAGGAGGCTGGTGGAACAGTAAAGAGATATGAAAAAGGATCTGCACATGGTGTTTATTGACGTGGAGAAAGCGTATGACAAAGTCCCTAGGGAAGTCCTTTGGAGATGCCTAGAGGCGAAAGGTGTGCCGGTTGCCTATATTATGGCGATTAAGGACATGTATGATAGAGCTAAGTCTCGGGTTAGGATCTGAGCTCAGCCCGTTCTTCTTTGCTCTGGTGATGGACGCACTGATACAACATATTCAAGGGGAGCTGCCATGGTGTATGTTGTTCCCTGATAATATATGTTACACCCCGCATTTCCGTACGTAAAAGTACGCCATAAGTAAATTGATAAAAACTCGGAATAAGATATTACATCCCATATTTTCGTACGTTAAAATTTCGTCGTAAGTTGATCGACGTAAGTTCGGGAATGAGATTATTTTGGGATTAATAGTATCACACTATTTCAAACAAGTGATAAGTAAATTCGTGAAGGTGAGAGGGTAAGTGAATCGAAGAAAATGAATTTTCGTCCAAATTTGGCATGTTGGGATAAAAATTCGGGCCGAGCGTTAATACACGATATTTATGAACTAGTACCATACAAAGTATCCTATGACCCATGGTAGTATGATATATAAAAGGGTATTAAAAATAAGTAGAATTTTAAATAATTTAAGACAACTTTTAATTATGCGGGTAATTGATTAATTTTAGTAATCTCTTGAGGTTCAGATGATATTCATTAACCATATAGCTGATGATTCCTACATAAAGATCTTAGTTGTACGTTTATTTTAAGAGCTTGTTCCTCTGTCGAGGTAACACTTGACGCAGCTTTTTCCATCGGTGGTGAAACATTGCTCCGGCGACTCATCGGCGGTCATTTATAAAAGCCGATTTGATCTTAAAGACCAAGACTACAATTCAGGCGTAAGCCTTGCCATTAGAAATACGAAATGCTTACCAATTCCTACAAAGGAATACTACAATAAAACGCTAGAATTCCTACAAGTTTCAATAATTTCAATGAAAATTATTTAGACATTAGCAACGCAAGATTTTGCAGTTTTAAAGGATTACGGTGCAACCTTTTCCAAGAACATCATACGGATTTTTCCTTACACCAGGTATGTTAAGGCTAAGCTCTTCTTTCATTTGACATGATCTCGTCATTACATTCATATCCCGAAATTTATGTATATTTTACTAGTCTTGCAAATTGCGTATATTTTTCTAGTGTTGTAAGTTATAATATTCTCCTTATCGGGACTGCATATTCAGTTGAGTATTTTCTTCTTCCACTCAAAAGAGCAGAGAATTTATATATATACAGTATTAAAAGTATTTTCATTACCATCGAGCTATAATCGATGGGCAGGCCCCTATTGGGCAACCTCTGATCAGATGGTAAGTTATATACCGAGCCTACTGTGGCGAGCGCTTATGAGCGAGCTCAGTTGGTCGAGACACAGAGCCTAGTATGGTCGAGCGCATATGAGCGAGCCTACTATAGAGCAATTATATATATACCGAGCCTGCTGTGGCTGAGCGCTTATGAGCGAGCCCAGTTGATCAAGATACAGAACTTAGTATGGTCGAGGGCTTATGAGCGAGCCTACTACGACAGAGCAGTTATATATATATATATATACCGAGCCTTATTGGGCCAGACAACTATTTTACTTACTATATTAAGAGAGTTGAGTTAGTATCAGCAAGTAAGCATATCTTCAGATTATCTTTGACTTCCAACTACTTGCAGTTATTATATTATTAGTTTAGTTTCAGCTTTTAGTATATTGCCTTACATACTCAGTATATTATTTCGTACTGACATCCCTTTTTTGGGGACGCTGCATTTCATGCGTGCAGGTAAGACAGACAGACGGGTAGGCCTCCTCAATAAGTATTGCCCGAGTTCAGCTTGATCGGTAAGCTCCAAGCCTTTCGGAGTTTCCAGATCTAGAATCTTATGTACATCTTGTATATGTATGTATATATGTTATGAGTAGGTCGGTTAGCTGTTCCGATCACAGTATATCCATCAGTAGAAGTTTGTAGACACATCCTATCAATTAGTGCAATATGTTGGGCTTGCAGGTCTTGTATGTATATTTGGTTGGTTTGTCAGCTGTAATAGTTATGATGGCTTTGTCGGCTCAGTTATATATTGACATTTAATCAGCATTCGTAGTTAATGTGGCCTATGGCCAAAGTATGACATCATATGTTCAAAGTCCCTTAGTTGCAAATTAGTACACAAGGATAGGTGAGGCACTAAGTGCCAGTCTCGCCCCCAGGTTCGGGGCGTGATAGTATAATTCTGATTGATAAGACGTGAAGCGGTGTTAACGAAAGGTTGGAAGTTTGGAGACATGCCCTTGAGTCTAAGGGTACAAGTTGAGCAGGACTAAGATAAAGTACCTGGAGTGCAAGTTCAGCGTTGAGTCGAGAATAGCGTGCTTGGACGTGATGCTTGGATCACATGTCATCCCCAAGAGAGGCAGTTTCAAGTACCTTGGGTCGGCTATCCAAGGGAATGGGGAGATCGACGAGGATGCTACATACCGTATAAGGGTTGGATGGATAAAATAGAGGTTAACATCTGGAGTCCTGTGTGACAAGAAAGTGCCACCGATACTCAAAGGTAAGTTTTATAGAGCGGTGGTCAAACCGGCCATATTGTATAGGGCAGAGTGTTGGCAGTTAAGAACTCACATATCCAGAAGATAAAAGTAGCAGATGATGTTGAGGTGGATGTGCGGGCACACTAGGATGTATAAGATTAGGAATAAAGATATTCAGGAGAAGGTGGGTGTGGCCCTCGTGGATGACAAAATGCGAGAAACAAGACTTAGATGGTTCGGACACTTGCGAAGGAGAAGCCCAAATGCCTCGGTCAGGAGGTTTGAGCGATTGGCTTTGGCGGGTTTGAGGAGAGGGAGATGTCGGCCTAAGAAATATTGGGAAGAGATGATCAGGCATAACATGACGTGGCTTCACATTTCCGAGGACATGACCCTTGATAGGAAGATGTGGAGGTCGGGCATTAGGGTGATAGGTTAGGAGGTAGCTGAGCATTTTTCTACTTCGTTCCGGGTGGAAGGCTGGTCTGATAAGGTTTTATCCCAGGCTGCTAGCGATTATTATTGTATCCACACTATTCTTCCATTTTTCATAGTACGGGGCCTTATTCATTGGTTTTTATTATTATTTTTCATCTATTTTTTGGTTTATAGTGTTGCTATTATTCTAATGGTTCTGTTGATGGTACTAATATATTACTATTTTTTTTTGTCTTTTTGAACAGAGTCTTTTGGAAACAGCCTCTCTACTCTCCGGAATAGGGATAAAGTCTATGTATACTCTACTCTTCTAGACCTCATTTGTATTGTTACGCGGCGCCTTCCTGATGTTCTTTGGAAGGGCAACGTAAGGCTAAGCAACCGATGTTAGTGCGGTTGTTGTCCGCCAATGAGGTCCCCTCCGCACGCTAGACTAGATTGTCAGTGTCGTGCGGGAAAACCCATGTCATANTGCTAGGCCGCTATGGGGCGCGGCCAAGGGGTCATGGGGCGTGTCTGGAAAGCAGCCCATGACAGTATGAATTCACTGGGTCGTTGTTGTACAAGTAAATGGGAATTTACAGCCCACATATTTGGTCACCAAAAGTAGAAATCATTCTGTTCATTGGGAAAAAAGTACAGTAAA